AGCCACATTTAAAACTAATTATATATTCATTTTAATGCTGCTACCAGATTCTTTCTATTCCTGTTCTCTTTTGCCTTTTTATATTCCCACTTCATTTTTTCTATAGTATTAAAAACGGATTATGTAATGTGATGTTCTGGTGAATGCAGGACCTTTTCTACTCCCTAATAAATATTCAAAAATATTTTGCATACATCCTGTGAACAAGGCTTGTGAAATCATAATGGGGTGACTTATGAACATTCATCTTTCCTATACTGAAGTATAATCTAGTCAACTGCATGGTATAGCAAATCATCCTGACATGTTTATATTAATGCATATTTAAATGAGAATAAGAAAGAAATAGTCAAATTTATGTTAAAGACTTCTAAAGGCTTAACAGCATCTTACTAAGTATATATGTCAGCTTAATCTAATCCTCCTACTTCTAACACGTTCTGTGGTCTCAGCACGGTGCCCATAATGCTCTCGTATGTTATGAGGGATAGCCTCTGAGAAGTTCACCATCAGTACTGCACTTTGTTCAATAAAACTTTACATCTGGTCTTAGGATGACAGAAAGCTATCTGTCTCAAATTTGCATTACAAACCTTTAGCTTCTTTTGACATCAGTAACACTGGCTATAATAATTTCCAATAACCTGTCACAATATGCAGAGTATATATATTCCTGGTTCTCATCTTACTGTGTCAGGTACAAACAAATTTCTCTAATTTATTTGGACAGTTCTAAATACATGACAATTTCTTTGCACCAAAAAAGCACTCATCTAATCAGACGCTCATTTGACAAGATCTGTGGCAGTATTTCCTCCTTTCACTCCAATGATTTTAAGTTCTAATCAGAAAAAAGTACCTTTATTCTTTTCCATGCTTTTGCTAGAGGAGACAATACATTGCAATTCAAGTTCTTACAAGAATTATTGAAGACTATTTGCTAATCTTATGACATGATGGAAGTCCACCTGAAATCCACTCAGACTGGAACAGTTATCTCCTCAACCATCTCTCTTGATTTCTGAGACATGATAATGTCTGTCTTTTCCATTATAGATACCTCTGTCTGATGTGTTTCACATTAAAAATATTTGAATAGCAGTGTCTAGCATCCCCTGCTATGTTATTATCTTTCCTCAGCAGACAATGCATCCGATGGTAGCTGAAGACTCCAAAAGGACAGATCTACTTGTGGGATTAACAATGTCTAACACATGTCGGAGATCAAACATGTCACTAACGGATCATCATACAGACGGTTAGCAACCAGCACTACCTGAGCTGAATTCATAAATGGCAACTGAAAAACTGCTCTCTCAATATCATTTCTGTTCTGGCAGCCACACCAAGGAAATAGTATTTTTTAAAAGTCTGTGTATTAGGCCTGCAGATTTTCGAGTCAAGATCAGTACATTTCTGCTTTATCCTGTGTCCTAGTAAAGTGCTATTCTGTGTTTGAAAGACAGTTTTACCAACTGTCTGATCAGTAGCTGTCATGGTTTAACTCCAGCCAGCAACTCAGCACCACACAGTCGCTTGCTCATTCCCCCCCAGTGGGGTGGGGGAGAGAATCGGAAGAATAAGATTCAGATAAAGACAGTTTAATAGCTAAAGCAAAAGCTGTGCATGCAAGCAAAGCAGAACAAGGAATTCATTCACTACTTCCCATCGGCAGGCAGGTGTTCAGCCGTCCCCAGGAAAGCAGGGCTCCATCAGGCGTAATGGTTGGGAAGACAAACGCCGTCACTCCAAACGTCCCCCCCTTTCTTCCTCTTCTGTGTCGCCTCCCAACTTCTTGTGCACCTCCAGCCTACTTGCTGGTAGAGTGGTGTGAGAAGCAGAAAAGGCCTTGACTCTGTGTAAGCACTGCTCAGCAATAACGAAAACATCCCTGTATTATCAACAGTGTTTCCAGCACAAATCCAAAACATAGCCCCATACTAGCTACTATGAAGAAAATTAACTCTATCCCAGCCAAAACCAGCACAGTAGCATAAGTAAATTCTGATACACACCTAAACATACTCTGCAACAGAAAGTAACCTTTGGAGGTAGTAGTAATCACCAGAGACATCCAAATACTCAAAATATCTTAGGGCAAGTCTACAGAGACCGGTATGAGCAAGTTTTGGCCATGCTCAGAGCTGACAAGACACAAACCAGTGCTATTTTGGAAGCCAGTACTGTTCCCTCTTGTGACTTGCCACATTCAGATTCATGCATTCTATAAACAGAACAAGCTTATTTGAACTTGCCTAAATATATTATATGTATGTTTCGAATTCTATTCAGGTAATGAATTAAACTTCTGGGTAATGTAAAACATGCCTTTTTTTCTACCTTGGTCCTGCATTCCGATTTAGGAAGCAGCCTGACAAGTTAATGGGCTGTTTTAGATGAAACATGAGGACCACCTTAAGGCTCAAGAGGAAAACAGGAATACACTATGAGAAACTGGAAGAAGCTGTGGTCATCAGAACTTAACAATCTCTAACACCTTGGGCTGGTGTTATAGGCAGGTTAAAATGTCATGGCATTCAAAAGAAAGACCTGATATTAGTTCTGTTTTATTACATCTGTGAAGCACACTAAAGGACACACACATTTGCAGTAGTTCTGTCAGTCAAAACTAAAGAGTGCCAGTAATAATTGAGAAGATAAAACATAGACTATGTCATCTTGCTTATGGATACTGCCTAGGGGATACTGAAATGAATGGGAACATCTTGAAGACCTTATGCAGTGCTCTTTCAACTCAGAGTTTGTATGTGTGAGTACATTTTAAATTATAAGAAGTATAATTACAATAATAGTACCAAAGATAGTCAAGGAAATAGTTCAGTAATATGCTGCATCCTTTGGAAAGCTGAGGAGGCTTCACTGGAGACTACATGCCTTTCAAGGTTCCAAGGACACATATTAGCAGAACACTTAAATATGTCCCTGTCTCTTAACAATATATTAAAAATCAGTCTTCTGATTTTGCATCAGAAACAGTATATATATAAGTCTTACATCAGATTGAAACTATCAGTAAGATACACTTCAGCAACAACTATTTTAATTTGAGAAATTATTTTCAAATGTATAGCATATTTCTTCTTCCCATTACATGAACTTTCTGGAAATTTTTCCTAAGTAGAAAAAAGTTATTCTTAAATTCTTCATCAATGAAATAGTGTTACTTGTAAATTTAATGTATTCTATATATTCTACAGATTTGCAAGAATGTATTTTTTACCAGTGGGGATAATGATAAAATTGCTATAATGACAGGAATTATTATGACAGTGCAGAGATCTGAACACAACCAGAATGAATATATGACAATCACAACAAATCTTTCTATGTCTATGCTATTGGTAGTATAACATGAATGGAATTGAATCAAATTGTTATGCACACATTTTATACATTATATTGAGCAATATATTTAATAAAGCAAATGAAATTATTTGGAAGTAATTATTCTATGGCCTGAGAAATATCAGAAAGAGAGCAGGCAAAACGGTAATGTTAATCCCATGCCAGGAACATGTTTTATCAAGTTTCCTTTTAGCTCTTAAACAAGATGTAGTAAAAGCAACAACATTCTGTCAGACTATATGTTCATTCCTTGCTTCCTGGATTAAATATGCTTATTCTATGCCACATTTTTATAGCTTTCAATTCCTGTACTTTAAATCTATTAAACAATGTCAAGTTGAATTTTCTTCAAAAACTGCTGCAGGTTAAGAAAAAAAAAATAGGACAGTAGAATATTTGAGGGCTAACATTTATGTCAGCTAATTAATATGGATCAGTTGTGGTCTGCAAGGATTTTTAAAGTGCATGCATGTTTGAGATAAATATAGACTAAGGATCTGATTTTGTTCCTTCCCAAATTGATAACAAAGCTCTTATTCATTTCAATACAAATATGGTCTACCAGTTTTGTAGGCCTGACAGATAAAATAAGCTTTTGTGCTCTTGCATAATGTTAGTTATCCCAAATTGAGCATAGCCCAAAATACAAATGTATAACATAAGAAATAAATTATAGTTGCAACATTATATTTATTGTTCTGTATTCTCTTTACTTGGTAAGGGAATGAGGTTTTGAATAAACAAACATTGGGAAAAAACAGTAAATTTGTTTGGTTAGCAAGTTCTATGTAAATGAGTTGGTAAGAAATCAGCCCATGTTCAAAACCGGACACCCGTTAATCTAGAGGATACAACACCATTTTCTTGTTTTAAAACGTTAATATTTCATTATTTGTTCTCAAAAGAGTGCCTGTTAGCACACAGAATTTGGTTATTTGAACATAGTTCTAGATCGTGACAAAAATAAGCTACCAAATGGACAATTGTTCAAAGACTTTTATGCAAAAGATTCACTATCCCTGTGTTGACCCTGAGGTGGCTGAATTTCTCAGCAACTTCTCTTTCACAGAACCACAGAATAACTCAGATTGGAGTGACATTGTCTAATCCAACCTCCTACTCAAATCAGGTCAGCTGTAAGATCAGAACATGCAATCCAGGACTTTATCCTGTTTGGACTTCAAAAGATCCAAGAACAGAGCTTTTCTATATGAGAAGCATGCCTGGTAACCAGAAAAAGAGCAAACGTATCTTAATCGCAGAATCATAGAATTGTTTAGGTTGGAAAAGACCTTTAAGATCATCAGGTCCAACCATTAACCTAACACTGCCAAGTCCACCACTAAACCATGCCGCTAAGCACCACATCTACACGTCTTTTAAATACCTCCAGGGATGGCGACTCAACCACTTCCCTGGGCAGCCTGTTCCAGTGCTTGATAACCCTTTCGGTGAAGAAATTTTTCCTAATATCCAATCTAAACCTCCCCTGGCACAACTTTTGGCCTTCTTGGCCACCTATCCTTGAAAGGCACTTCTAAATTGTCTTCTTCAAATGAAACCTTATGCAGAAGTGAACAAAAATTACCTTATGCTTAGTATTAACAGCTGGTTTCTGTCATCATAAGTCTTACCTGTTTGCAGTGTTTCAGCATCAAAGACATCCTCCTTGAAGAAAGCTCTAAAACACAAAGGACTTGCACTGCAGTCTTCTGAAAGTTTCTCAGCAGCTTGTCTAAACATAGCAACTAAGTCATGAAGAGGTCCATCTAAATCAAGCTGAGAAGCGGATGGTGAAATCAAGCTTAGACGTACAGAGATTGATGCACAAGAAGCAGAACTAGACTCCACAGATTCACACTCAATTTGGAAGCCCTCTGACAACATCTTCATTGCAAAATGTTTTCTTTGGAGTGGATCATCAACTACTGCAACAACATGCCATTCAATGGCAGCATCTCTGGGTAGGTGAGATATTACAACCACAGCAAGCAACCCACACACTGCAGTTACATCATGATACATCTCTGAATCTTCAACCTAAAAGACAAACAAAATATTGTGCATATTACAGAGCTGGTAGAAATTAATGTTGCTCATATTCAGCTGATATATTCAAAAAAGTATCTGCAGTACAGTTATTTCATGGAGACTGTTTTTCCCCTAAACTTTCCTTCTTATTGAAAATTCATCTTGAGCAATTAGGAATTTGTCTGACAGTTAATATCTGCTCATTTTTGCAGTCTCAAACTACTACTATGCCTGTACCATTTAAAAAAATGCTGATCATAATGTATTTTGTACTCATTTTGCAATAAAAAAAGTCTTTTTGCATACAGTAACTTTTGTCCATGGTCTTGGAAGAATAGAAATGGTAGGAACTACCGAAACTACACAAATGAGTTAGTAAAGCACATAAGATTTATTTTAAAAGTTGGAGTACTAAAGATACAGTTCAGATGCAGCAAAGATACAGTTCAGATAGTTCTGAACAGCAGAATGATCTTGAACAAACCCTCTTAGAAGATAAAACATGTTTTTTTTTTAATAGCAGAGCTCATTTAGAAAGTATATTTAAATTGTTTTCACATCAACCAGCACATCTAATTAGCTAACTTGGTAGGCTAACTGAGTAACTGAGCTCCTTTTCCTCTGGTGGTATTAAAGAAGTGGGACAGGCTTTCTGCTTACTTCTTTGTAAAAAATTTAGTATAAATTGCACTGTAGCATGTTAACAGGTATAGGAAGTGCATATAGTGTTTCAAAATACTGAAACACTCTTCCATGAGACAGACGAAGAAATTGTGAACTTGCAGCCATCTCAAACCAAATTAATTGTACCTATGTGCATTAAATAGCATTACCTTTGAATCTTAACAAACTTAAGATGAGTTCATGAAAGAATTATCTTGTCCCTGTATTGTTACTATGTATTCAACACTTTTTCATCTGAATACAAGCAAAAACAACCTTTAAACTAGGAACAATACATTGTGGTGGGTTGACTCCATCCAGCAGCTGAGCACCACACAGATGCTTGCTTACTCCTTCCCTACCCAATGGCACAGGTGAGAAAACTTGTGGATCAAGATAAAGATGGTTTAAAAGGAAAGAAAAAAGGAAGAGGAAAGGAGAAAAACAAAACAAGCAATGCAAAGGCTATTACTCAATACCTTCCCACCAGCAGACTGACACCCAGCTAGGCTGTGAGCAATGGCTACCTTCCAAAAGACTCCTCCCCTTAGTTTTTATGGCCGAATATGATGTTATAGTGAATTAAATATCCCTTTGGTCAGTTGAGGTCAGCTGTCCCAGCTGCGTCCCCTCCCAACTTCTTGTGCACCCCCAGCCTACTCGCTGGCAGGGCAGTGTGACAAACAGGGAAGGCCTTGACGCTGTGGAAGCACTGCTCAGCAATAACTAAAAACCCTGGTGTGTTATCAACGCTGTTTTGGTCACAAATCCAAACCATAGCACCATACAGGTTGCTATGAAGAAAATTAACTCCATCCCAGCCAAAACCAGTACACACATTTAGGTCTGCTGTTACCTTATACTTAAACGCATATACTCATACTCCTATTACATATACAACAAGGTCTATCTATGGAAAGCAACCCCATTTTTTTGATATACATACTCTCAAAAAGTATGAATTTACATTAACTTATCAGCTTTCTGAACGTACTTTTTTTTTGAACAACTGTTCAAATAGTTGAACAGTTGAAATGCTTATTCTGGCCAGTAGATTTTTTTTTTTTTTTAGTTTTTCCGCCATTTTTATGGAGAGACCATATATTAAGCATTTTTAATATTAGCGACTTATACCGTCTTCTTTGTGTACACGGATAATAACTTTTTTTATATACCAATTTGCTTATACCGCAGTATATACTGGTAATATTGTCCATTGCCTGACCTCTGAAAGGAAAAATAATAACAAAGCAAACCTGTCATTTTGCCTGAAGTCGATAAGGCCATATAACTCACAGTACCTTCAATTCACAAGCTCAATTTTCATCCACTCGCTCTCAACTTTGAGAGGAAGAAATAATGACAGGTTACAGGCACTTTATTTCAAAATTCACTCACAAAGTTATTGACAAGCATTTTGCACAGAATATCTTTGATGCTTGACCCTCGTGAGCTGTTTACATGAAAAATGCACTTACTTCTATATTAATGATAGTGGAGTCTAATTCTATACCAAACATGTAGCAATTGCTTTAGCATGTCTGTTTTTGATATGGGAACAAAAATAGGGATAATTTGTCTCAAATTGAAGTCACTTCAGTCATAATAAAATCTCAGTGAGTACTGTTTGCTTTCAGTACTTTCATTAGGCTAGCTGGGGCTATTATTAAGGTACCAACACATAAATGTTATATTAGCACTTAACAGGAGGAGCACAGTATTCTCCTCTAGGAGATGAATTCTAACCTTGTCAATATAATTCTGCTCTGAGTGCTGTAAAACAGTTTGAAAAGATGAAATACTGGAGCTTTGCATGGAGGAAAAAAAAAGTTATGCTCATTCAGGCTTAAAGGCCACTTTGCTGGCCCAAGGTGCTGAGGTACTGTTTAGAAAAAAAAAAGACTAAAGAAGCGCTCTCAGGTCACATCAAGCACTAAGACAAACTTTTCTACTTCCCTGTACTTGTCTTAGGTTGTTAAATCAATTACTCACTATTTCTGCTTGCCTTCAGCTGCCATTTAGAATATGAAGAACTACATGAAAATTAAGGCCAGGAGAAAATACATTTCCAAATTTAACAAATGAGAATCATTCTGAGTGAAAGACTATTCACGATGCACCTGTACAGTACCATAGCCCTCATAACCTTTAACTTTGGAGTTTGCACAAAGCACAAGTGATGGAGCTACTGGGGACTAATAATCTTTCATCTGCTGCTACAGAATCTTACAGAAGTACTTCTAACAATCACCTCTCCTGACTTATTTTCAAGAAATTGCTGACATTTGCGTTGTACGTGGATGCTGCATTTATGAGTTACCTTTCAGAAATTTACAACTGTCTTAAACAGCTGAATATCTTTATGATAGCCTGTCTAGTAAATGAGGATGAATATATAAGGTCTGCTAAGAAATTCTATTCAGATGATGCTGGAACAATATAAGTAAGTATTAAGAGTGAAAATGAAGAGGAATTATTTTATGACTAAGTTGCTCTTTACAATTGATTCTGGTCTCCCATCAATGAGATCCAGCACTTTCGGCAGACAGCTGTGGTACTAGGAAGAAAAACATGTTGTTTGTGTTCTTGCCCAAGGATACTGTTGTAGACTGTTCTATAAAGGAGCACAGGTTTTGGCCTACTCCTACATATTCACAGCCTTGGGGAAAAAAAAATTGAAGTAGAAGAGGAAGCAGTTTAGCTTGTAATTCTTGAAAAAGAAGTGACAAATAATTCTTGGGAACCTTTGTAAAATTTTTATCACTGAGAGATGAGAAAACACTGTTGGGCCAAATGCTGTTGAAAGCAGTGATTCCTTAAAGTATGTTTGACCTGAATTTTACAAATCTTTCCAAATTTCATTAGGCTGTAGGTGTAGCTGTCAGCTAAAGGTATTTGCCCTTAAACACTTATTTCCTAGCTATTGGTATTCAAATGATTTTCAGTTCATGGGAGAGGGTCTGCCTGTTGAAAATCCCTGTTTCCAGGTGTTAGCTTTTCCACAGGAGTTAATCCTTTCTAAGAACAAATACTGCAAGGTAGCTTGGTACCAGGAAAAGTTCGGATGCCATGAGGAAAATGAGCAGACTGTAAAGGTTCATTGTCTGACTGCTGAGGTAATATGGAGATAGATGCTGCTTCTGTGCTACACTTTTACATGATCTGATTCAAAGAGGGCTGGAGAAGGAAGCCAGGTAACATCCTTTCGCTGTGCAAGAGACCGCCTCTGAAAATAAATGACTCTGTAACAATGTCTTCTTTCAGGAATGGATGCAAACTGGATCATCTCAGAGGCCCCACTATGACAGGATTCTGATTCTGTCATGCTATGAAATGGTAGATCCCCAAACTTTGGACAAAGATTTGATATGACAAGTGATTTAGCTCTTACTGAATCTCATGTTAGACTGTCCTCAAAACATGATCCATAATATCCTCCCTCTGCCAACAGGAACATCTGCTACTCAATTCATCAAAGGTGGGAAAGATGGAGCCCCAGAAAGTTTGGAAAAGGAAGTCAAAAAGTAGATTTTTCTAAATGCATGCATTGTATCTATATCATTCCCTATCCAGAGGACTATGAACACTCTCATTTTTTAACACTTCACTTTGGAAAAAAAACACAACTCCACAAAGGACTTTTCCCACCATGAAGAAAATACTGGTATTCTTCTGGTGATACAATACACATTTCAATAACTCAGGGGAAAAACAGAAGGTACGGAGTAGATTTGAGAAAGACTGAGAATGTAACTCTGTTATTTACCTGAAATTTTACTAATACAAAAGTAGGTTGATGCCATATTACTGTAAACACTGAGAAGAGTGCCTTGCTAAGCTAAGTAACATCCTGGAAAGGCTTCACGAACTGGTTAACAAAGAATCACAGCAGCTGACAGCAGTCAAGAAAGCAAGTAAAACATTATGAATTCATAGGAAAGGAATAGAGAAGAAAATGGGTAACATTATGCCGCTGTAGAAATTCAGAGTTCACCTGCACCTTGAGTAAGATAAACAACTCTGCATCTCTCAAGTGAAAAATGACATATTAGATGCAGAATGTGTTCAGAGGAGGACAACAAGGATGATCAAAAGCTCTGGAGGGTCTGACTGGAAATGTTCACCAGCCTTCTTAGGGACAATGACAGAGGTTTACAAAATCATACATGACATAAGAAGGGTGGGTAGGGATAAGAATTGATTTTGCAGGCTTGTCTTTCTGTACAAGAACTACGGATCATCAAATGACATTAGTAAGAGCATGGTTTCAGAAAGAACGATGGTGGGTGACCCCTGGAATGCCTTGATGGAGAATGCTGTGGTTGCAAGAACTTTACAGGGATTCA